CACGAGCGACCACGGTGGAAAGCAGCCGAGAGAGCGAACTCCGGATAGCAGGAAAGGATTGGGGGTTGTGCGGGGGTAGGGTAATAGCGGCGGTGGCGACGATGGTGGTGGTGGTGGCGGCGGCGGAGGCGGTGGCGGCGAGAGATCCTCGGGAGTGTCTACCCTATATCACGCTGCTGGGAAGTACAAGGGACACGGGGCTCTTCCTCCCACCCTCTCCTGGGAGCGAGCCGGCCATCCCGTCGCTCTGAACTTTACCCGGGGTGAGATATGCAGAAATTAAATATTCATTCGGGTTACCGGCCCTCGGTGTCCCTGCTCCTCTTTCTCTCCTTCTCTCTTTCTCTGCCTCCCCTCCCCACCCCTCCTCCGTATCACCATGCATGTATCGTCCCCCGATTCAGTCTCGCACTCTTTCCTCTTCTACCTTCCTGAGAGTAATGCGCTGGCTCGAGGCCAGTTTCGTCGATGCTCTCTCGATATTCGACATCCGTTCGTCCCGCATCCCGCGTATCGAGGGAGGAAGACGTCGGACGATGACACGTGAACGCGTACCGCGCCGTCCCAGATAACAACCGTGTTTCGCGAATCGCAGATAGTGGAAGTGAAATTAGGGGAGAATGGCAGACGTCGATCGAGATCTTGCTCTTATAAGGAACTGAATATCGCAGATTTTCACCGGGTCAATCGTCGCCGATGCGAGTAACCAGAAATCGCTTATTCCTTCCCAGCTCTTCGCAGCGGAATTTCAAGTCGACGCGCGTCCATCCGGATTTTCCGTACTGGAATGTACAAGGTCACGAGAGTTGGAAAAAGAGAGGATGAGAGAGAGAGAGAGAGAGAGAGAATATGATACGCGACAAAAGCAATCTCAATCGAAGCAATTCATCTCCGCCGAATAACGTGTGGTCGACGGATCGCGTGCATCCGCCACATTCCGCCGTACACCCTCGCGCTATACCCCAGCTCACCCCGCGTATTCTCTCTCTCACTGTTTTCCTTCTCTTTCTTCGGGTCCGACTACTTTCACGGGCTCTCGAAAGGCCGTGGCGCGCATATTGCGCCGGAAACGTACCTGTTGAACCAGGCACCGACTTCGATGAAATAATGACGAGTGGCTTATGCGCCGTCTGCAGCCACTGCCGCCGCCGGCGAGGGCTGGGGGCGCGAGGGGCAGACGGCAGGATGCAACCGCGCTACGTTGCGCAATGTGCCTCCCTCTCTCCCTTCTCCATCCTTCCGCCCTCGCTGTGGCCGACGAAGTGTTCTCCGTCAGCGTTGGAATTGCATCATGCTTTCTCTCTCTCTCTCTCTTGTTCTCTCGCTCCACAGCTTTCCATCTCGAACACATCTTGCGGGATGAGCGCGCGGCTACGGTTTCGAGGAGGCGAAGCGCCTCGCGCGGGATAAAAGGATTTGTTTTACTGCCACTGTGCGCGGTGGCGGCAGGAGCGAAGACAGGGACGAGATTTGAATAGCGTTGTCGCCGCATTCGTCGTACAACGGTGGAACGCTAAATTGTCGGAATCGTGCGACCGATAATTCGCAACGCCGACACACAGAGAGGTTACGGTGTTTTACCGTTGGAATTGCTCTTCCTCGGTACTCGAGAACGCCTCTGGCTGCTCTCGCCGCGTTCTCGGGAAATCCGACGGTCTCGCGCTGTTTCAACGCGATATTTTCGCTCGAACACGGAAAACGTCGACGTGTAAGAGAGGACTCGCAGCTACTTGAAGAAAAATGCGCGTTGATACCTCTTGAAGAATCGACGAGTGTTATCGCGTGCGGCATTCGAAGATTGCAGGCCCGCCACTTTCTGATTTTTCTCAGTGCATATCTTATAATTTGGGACTAATTATAATTTTAGAACTGTGATAAAACATTTCGGTGTGTTGCACAATCGCATTACGTTTAGTTTTATTCCATTCCGTTAATTTATATAATCGCGATTGGGAGTTCGTTACACGTTTTTTGCAAATGGAAGAAAAAAAATAGACGCAGATTCGGAATTGTCTTTACGAAACGTAACTTTTTGCACCGGTTTCCCGTTAATTCCGCCATTTCTGCGTTTGCATGTGACACGTTCCCGCCGGGACAGGCAAGGAAATCGCGAGCGCGCGTTTCAGGAATTGTAAGTCCGTTTCCCTGTCCCGAGAATGAAAATGTCTACCCCATTTATCCCACGCGACAAGATTTCTAATTACGCGAGTCTAATCCAGTCGCGCGACTATTTCTCCCCGTAAGAACTGATAACTTCGGAGACGGTGACCGCGTCTTGCCCCTTTCAATTACCATAATTAACATTCCCCAATGATGGGATTTTGTCCAGAGCAACGGCTGCCGCGACGGTTTGCGAATTTGCTCCAATTCGTCGAAATAATTTGACGAACTTATTAATTTCCATTTAACATCGAGATCGACAGTTTTATCGATTAGACGTGAGAAGAGGTTGTAGGTACGCGAGATAAAAGTCCCAGCGGTGAAGTTATTTCCCAGAGAGACGCAAGCGCGCGCATTTTGGTGTGATGAAAATATATTAATATAATTTGTTAAGAACCCCTGCCGAATCGAAATTTCGATGTCATTGTTGGATCTTTATTAAACCTTAATTCTACAACACAATAGCTACGATGGCAAAATAGATTTAAAACATTTTAATTATAGTAATATAATTTATTCCTATTTTGATCCTGATAACGTCTTAAATTTTCATTTTCGTCGTTTTCGTGTTAAAATAGGTTGTTCGACATAGCATGAAAATTAAATCTGTACAATGAAAGGTTCAAGAGAAACGTTAACAAATAACATTATCGTTTAAGTGGGTTGTTATTAGTCTTTAAGCCATCTAAGTAGGCGCAAACTGTCTCTAAGAGCATCTAAGTGATATCAGAATTTCGTCTCCGACTTTCAAATGCAGAATTCTACCGAAAGAAGAGAGCGATAGAATGTCTCAACGTCGCGATTCGCCGGAAATCCACGCGACTTATTCGCCATCTCTCACTCGTCGAATCTTCAGCTGTGAACACATCGTCGTTACAAATTCGTTTCGAAAGACGTCCGCGTCCTTCGATGCTTCGTGCATGAGAGAATAAAATTCTTCCCGGATGTTTCCCGGCTTCTCGCGACTGCTGTCCCATTGCGATCTCGTGTACGTGTTTCACGACATCGTTTCAATGCCGTTTCACGGTAACTATTCGCGAGATGCAAGAACGTAGGACTCGCGTTTCCACGTTTGTGACTCATCCTCGATTCGTCATCCCGAGCGGTCGTATCGTGGATACGACGACGACGACGGAAATTATACAAAATCAACAGCCTCTGCTCGTCCGAGTCGCTGTCGTTTCGCTGAATAACCAACTCGTCGTCTTCTGGCTTTCTCACTTCGCCAGAGAGAGAGAGAGAGAGAGAGAGAGAAATTTTTAATCGCCCTACGCTATACTCTACACACAAGACCTCTCGCGTAATATTGATTTGTCCTGGCTAACCGTGAATTGACTCCTCGATAACAGACGTTAATATTAAAACAATCAATTGGAAGTTGCAAGACGGCTTTCGATGAAAATTTCACTTCCGACGAATCCGATCCTTCGAGGATAAATGAGCCCCTATATGTAATCTGCCGAGAACTATGAAATTTATAGACAGCCGATACAAGGTGCACACGATGTTCATCCGGTTGTAACAGGAAGCTTCGTATATTACTGAGGGGGCGCACGGGGGTGAACGTTAATATTTTAAAATCCGCAAAATTGCCCCGCATCATCGGCCTTTTGCATAAATTTAGACCGATCGCGAAAGGGTTAATAATCCGACAGGCTGATCTCATGTTTAGCCGAGGTCGTAACGGCCGGCCGACCAGCCTGGGGGGAGAGGGGGGATGATCATGCCGCGCGTTTCACAGCGCGGTTTGAATTTCGACTTGAATGCGAGCCAATATGGGGTACATAACTCCGCGTCGACCATTAGTTTCGCCTTTACGAGGCAAATGAACCATACCCGCGCGCTCGTAAGATCGCGGAGTTTACATTTTTAACGACGGAACACGTTCGCCCCGTCGGTGCGCGTCGAGAATTTGTTTGTTACGCGGCCGGCGAACGAGCGAGTGAGCGAACGAAACCGCAACGACCGATTCTCCTCTCGTGTGTTTAGAAGAGTGGCGCCACATTTTGCGAGAGAGATCGATTTAACCCCGGCAACATCGGGCCCTGATTTGTGTAGCATGTTGTGTGCGCTTGAAAGCGGCAGAAAGCAGGAAAGCTAGACGGAGTGCGAGGCTGCCTCGATCCCAGCATCGAAAGCGCATTTTCTGAAATTTAATATCGCTTCGAAATAGGTGGACCGTTAAAATTCGTCGGGAAATTCTCGTTCTCTTTGCGTTCGCGAGGTGGTAAACGGATTTGTAAAAATCGCAGGTGAGAATTATATCGAGAGAGAGAGAGAGAGAGAGAGATTCGAACACGAGAGGTTGTTTGGCTCGCGCGACGGTGTTGGTTAATCTGTAATAAAGAGCGACTGTATAGCATTACAATTGCCCTTACTATCTATCTCTCTTTCTCTGTCTCTCATTGTCCTCTACAATGCCGATATATCGGAATCCCGATGAGACTCCAGCATTGTCAAGTGCTATGCGGTTAGAGATATTTCCTGTCGACAGGGGACGAACTTTAACTAGTTAAAGCCACTTTCAGTAAGAGTCGCATTGCCGTAACCTCCTTACAGGATTACGACCCTTATGGAAAATTCCGAAGAAATTGGCCGGCGACGAACTGAAACTCATTAAATTAATTTGCCGCGAGAACGTCGACACCGTCGCCAGCGCAATTATGAAATTATGTGTCCGGGCGATTAAAAATCGATTTCTTCGCGCACGATCCACCGCCGTGCAATCAGGTCGCTCGAATGATGTCGCTCAGCTTCGAAATGCCCGCGACCCTCTTTCCCGCACAATGTACGTTCGTAATAATTCGTCTATTAATCGTAGCAATTTGATTTCTTTTCAGAACGATCGACGGAGGAGGAATGGCAGCCGGCAGGAAACTCGCGAAGTAAGTTTTGTACATACTTTCTTTAATTTCTATTCTCTCCCGAGCCGGACGCTCTCCTTCTCTCGGTACAAAGAGAGCGATTTTCATTAAAACTGAAATATTTCTATCGAACCGAAAGTAAGGAACAAAGGAGCGAAGTAAATCCGATAGTATCTCTTTTATTCCGTTCGTGAAAGTACAAACAGTGCGCAGCGCGTTCTGAACGCGTTCCATGCCATTTGCAAAATCGGTGACTCGATAAATTGACGTAACATTGTTTGCTCAGTTGTATCACGAATGTGTGGTATATATATATATATATATATATATATATATATATATATTTATTTATTTATTTATTTATTTATATGTATACGGGTGTGTGTGCGTGTGTGTACGCGAGAATATATATACGACATGGTAAACGTCAGCGGAGACGGTCGCTAAAGTTCAAAGTAATTTCGGGACACGCGCAGCAAAACGTTTAGCACAGATTCCTTAGCGTCCATTGACGATCCCGGAAACACGTCCGCGGCATTGTTTGAGTTTCGATTTGAACGCGGTCCAATATGTACCGCACGGTACATAGTCGTCTATATTAGCTTCTCATTTGCCTGGCACACGCGATGTTGCCGACGATGCCGTTAGGGAACGAGAGAGAGAGAGAGAGAGAGAAAGAGAGGAAGCGAAACGGAGAGAGAGAAATGGAGAGAGAAAGAGCGAGGGGGAGAGAACGACCAATTAAATTAACTAATAATACGCGTCGTAATCACCTTACATCGCGTGCCGTCCGATCAATTACCAATTATATAACAGAGGAATGTCCCGACAAATTAATAGGGGCTATTAAGTATCGAGAATCGTCGTGTAAAAAATTTAATTAATTTTAATGGCTGCGAACGGAAAAATCGTTGTAATTAGTTTTTCATTTTTAATGAGCGATTTCGTGTAACACCCAATTGCGTGACTAAATTGCGCGCGTGCGCGTTATGTGTGTGTATGTATGTAAATACCGTAATATGAAAACGACGTTTTCTCTCTCAATTTGATTGCGTGGAACGTTCAGATAAGATTAGCTAGATCTCACGGTCGCGATATAAGAATTGAGTTATCGTTCTCGATTTTATTGTGTAGAACTTTCAGATAAGGTGAAATTCCAATAGAGCGAGAGAGAGGGAGGGAGAGCTACAGCAATTCGGTAATATCCATGAAGGTTCTCTCGTTCCCTCTCTTGTTCTCTTCACAATACGCATGTTTCGCGACATCGTCGTTTGAGTTTCGACTTGAACCGGAGCCAATCCGCGTGCCTGGTGTTTTGCCCTCCAGAGCGCGGCGAATCGCGTCGTAAGGACGATCGTTACGGCGATTCACGATAAAATCCTTATTCCATGGCTCGCCGCCGCTCGTTGCCGTCAAGGGGAGAGAAGCGAAACCGCTTTCTTAAATATTATTCGCCCCCGAGCGTTCTATTATTCCACGCGAGACAGAAGCGGCCAGAGGAATTCGATCCCGCCGCGCGGAAAATTTTCACGGGATACGACCCGTTCTTCTCTCTTTCCCCTCGTTTTTCTGTCTCTTCTCTGCCTCCTCTTCCGTTCTCTCTCGTTTCCTCTCTTCTTTTTTTCTCCTTTTTTTTTTAACCAGGACGAATTCGTCCCTATCGACGCGGATCGAATCGGCAGAATTATGTTGTTGCGCCGGCGGAACGAGATATTTCGTTTCTCGCCTTCGACGCGCGCTCTAGTGTTTTATGTAAAGACCGAACAATTTTATTCCACGTCCTCGAGTACACTCTTCTCTTCTCCCGTCCTTTTTTCCACTTTCTCTCTCTTTCTCTCGCTCTCTTTCTGTGCCTCTCTATTCCTCTCCTTCGGGGACCTCCTTCTGTCGGTGCCATAAATTTCACCCGCGCTACCCCCCTCGTGCTTTTGCACTGTTACTCGCCCATATATTCCGATATCCTAGAACTCAACCTTGTTCCCGCAACCCATTTCGAAGCACTCCCGCGGTTACTTTGGCTCGCCCACCTTATACGTATATCGCGAATTCCGATATCGCGACCGCAGTGCTCTACGAATACATTCAGCAACTATATCTTCGTGCTTCACGTAGAACGGATGAGGCTTTCAGTTTCATCGTCATTTCAGGTACCCACGAGAGCGCGTGCGAATTTATTTTATTCGCTTAACCACGTATAGCGAAGGGCCGAGGCCGGATCTGCGGCGCGTCGAAAGAGGCTCAATTATTTTGCATTGCACCAATCGCTAAATAATATGTATTTTAATTTTATATAGCAACATGTATATCATAACTTTTAATTAGTTTCTATATAACAATATATATCAAGTCTATAATCGTAATATTTAGAGATTAAAAAGTAGATGTATGGATTTATATATAAAGATGATGTTCGTCTCTTTAGATACATTTGAAGCGATCTCTTGAAATCTGCCGACAGCGGGCGGAAATTTTACCACCATAAATGCTGCCGCCAAAGCATCAATAATTGTATATTTCAATATTCACGTTATAATCTAACACGAAGATATCAATTATACGTTTTTTAATGCACGAACGCTAGTGGGTTTTACCTGTCACATTTATTCGCTGAAAGGCGATTCATCGCGAATTCGGTCGAGAGAACCGCCTTTCATAAGTAATTTTTCCACACATATATATACATATATATATATATATATTATCACGATACACACATTCACATACACACGCATACAGAGCACACGAGCTATTTTCATGCTATTTTCTGTCGGGAGTTAAAGAAACGGTATGATGTATGAAATAGACGTCACGCTAACGACGATCCATTATAAAACGCCAGGAGCCCGAACAAAACCCATCGTCCATCTACCGATCGAGCTTTTTAATACGTCCTTTTTCTGAAAGTCGGCCGCTGTTTCCCCTGTTTCGTTTTTGCGTGCACTCCGCGGAACGTCAACAACGACGTGTCGTCCTCCGCTTTTAATTTACCGGACGAAGAGCCGATTCCCTCGTGCGTCTCCCCACGTCGAAACGATTTTCACTCTATTTGCTTAGCCGCCGTTTAACGTCCGGCCGTGCACCACTGCTAAAACCAACCGCAATACGGGATGCGCCAAGGAACCGTATTTTTCCCGTCTTTGATTTTTCCGGGGGAATTCGCTTTTATTTGTACAGTTACCGTCGTATTCCGTACGAATCCCTTTTCCACCTCGCCGGACATTCCGATATCCCAGTACTTAACCTTGTTCACCGAACCCGTTTCGTGGCATTCTTTCCCACTCTTCTCTCTCTTTCTTTCTCTCTTCTCTATTCCTTTCTATCTACAAAATGCCATGGTCGATTCGTCGGCCGAGTGGATTTTCAACCTGTAAATCGGCAACTTTATTTCTCACGACACATGTGTGTCGGAATAACCATAGCTTGTGATGCCATCATTCCTTTATTTTTCTTACTGTTAATTTCTTAAAATACTTTAAAATACGTTATCTTCTCCTCTTACATTTCGCTTTAGATCCAAGTTTGACTCGTTGCCTCCTAACGTACGCGAATCTTCCTATTAATTATCTCTCTCTTTCTCTCTCTCTTTCTCTTCTCTCATATCACGTAGTTTCTTCACTACGTAAATTTGCCGCTTACCTCTTGAGTGGACCTCTTGAGAGGAGATGACTTTTTAAGTACAATAGAATCCCTTTTTTCCCCACTTTATTTTGCTTCGCTCAATATGGCGACTCTTAACGTCCTCGCTAACGTATCCGCCTTTTCAACGGGGAAAAATCCATTCGACTCGACGATTCCCGTAATCCGTAATCCACTCGATTCTCGCTCGTCGGCGTGAAATTTTAATACCAAATCGATCCTGCCGTCGCTGGCGTTACGCGAACAGTATCGATTCCGACCGCCGCGACAATTACGATTGACGTTTCGATACGTGATCGAGGAAGCGGCCTGATCGGATTCCTCGACCCGATGTCGTTGTTGCTTTCGACAACAACGGGGCTTCACTCAGCGCAACCCGCTCTCGCGAGCTGCCGTTCAACTTCGAGTTCCATCATCGTAACGGCAGGATACACTTTCTTGCCAGTAGCGTAACCAACGACCCCGCAAATCCCAAGGGGGTCCTAGTGTCGAAAGAAGAAAAAGGGAAAGACAGAGAGAGAGAGGGGATAGGATAAAACAAGAGAAACTGCGGTAGAAAGAAATATAAATCCGTTTATTATTTCGAGGCAGACGTCATCGCGCGAAACCAGAGAATAACACGAAAACGAAGAACATACACGATGCACAAAGCATCGGACGGTGAAACGACAACGGATTGAAATTGGTAAGAAGCAAAAAAGAGACAGAGACGAAGGAAAGATACAGAAGCATGTGTATCGCGATGCGAGAAAACTTGTCGCATTTGCGCCGAGAATCGCGCGACGTCGAGAATATCAATAGTCGGTCAAGTATACAACCGGATGAAACACGGTGTATTTATTTATCTGCTTATTTATTTATTCGGCACACGGGAACAGTATTAAAGCGACGTCATGCACACACATACGGGATCTCTAGAAAGTACACACGAGTTAAATAATTGATCGTCGAGAAAACTCGCATTGGCGGAGCGGGAGAAACAGATCGAAACGGGATGAAGTCGGTGAAGAGGGGAGGGACGAAAAGGGAGGAGGAAGGGCAAAATGCTATCGAGAGATCGCGATTGTCTGCTGAGGCAATGGATGAAGAGCCCCTTTGGTTTCTTCTGCGGTGGAAGGTGTGCTCTAAAACGTGAGTTACGTCACTGTCTCTTGCACTCGCGCGCGCACACTCTCGAATACCGAAGCCGCGTCATAAATTTCGCCACCGCCGTCGCTGGTGTTGTGCCCCGTGTGCCGTTCGCTATTTTGCCATGAATTCCGATATCCTAGAACTTAACCTTGTTCCCGCAACCCATTTCACAGCTCTCCCGTTTATTCCGGTCCGGCTTTCCCGATACCGTGAGATCTCTCTTTCTCTCTCTCTCTCTCACTTTAGCGCGCGGG